GATAGGAGCAGCACAGGTCAATACTAGTATCTAGAATTTTATATTTTGTTTAGTGTTAATAGAAACCAATTCTCTATCAATCAATGTTTAGAAGAAAAAATTGTAATACGTAAAACAATATTCTTTAAATTATTGATAAAATGTTCTAAGAACCCAACTCAAGATTCTAAAAAACGTTTAGTTTACCTTTATGAAGACAGGGATATGTGTTTAACTTCAAATCCTATTTTAAACAGTGATGTTGAAGCGAATTTATATAAGTTCATTTTTTAGCAAATGATGGATTAAATGTTAGAAATGGGTATAAAAAATACAGGAAAGGGTGTTTTGATTTCAAAAATAAAAATTACTTCTGAAGTGGATGGTAAACTTCATGTCCAAATCGTATTTCAAATATTGATGTTGAAGTCCATTTGTATAACTTAGATTTCTTTACAAAGGTCAAGTAAATGTTAATTAAAAACGCGGTTTTTAAAATAACAGGTGAGTGAAATAAGACAACTAAACATAGAATATATAGATTACTTCTAAAGTAGTGGATTGTAAACTTTAAGTACAAATCCTATATCAAGTATTGTTGTTGAAGTCTATTTGTACACCTTAGTTTTTTTACAAAGGTCAATTTAAAATACAGGTAACTGAAACAAGAAAACTAAACATAGAAAACCAGGCAATGGAAACAAGGGAATGGTAGAAATGAGTAAGATGAGAAAATACAGAGTTTATAAATAGTAGCTCTCATAATACCTTTCATTTTTTACAAGTATTTGGCTAAAAGAGAATGATAAAAAGTCATTGTATTTAATCAAAGAGAAATTATAAAGACTCGGTATGTTCAAAAAAAGAAAATTAATTCTTACTAAAGCCATGGAGATTTGAGATGTAGATGTTTGTTACATAGGTAGTCAATAATATAATTCAACGACGATAAAAGATTTAAAGTAATACATAAGTCAAAAGAAATTATTTAACAATAAATTAATACAAATCATCAAAACATAAAAATGAATAAATAATAAAAAAATCCTTTTTTGTCATGATCAACTGTATGTGACTGTGTCATGAGTTACCAAGCGTGAAAAGTTAAAGATATTGATAAGTAACACTGATGATACCTCAAGTAGTTCCACGATAAATGTATATCCAGAATTTTCTCAAAATGTTTCATTTCTACAATATTGTAATGTATTGTTTTATAATGCATTTAGTAAACCAATTTATGAGCCCGTTTGGTGACCCCTTTTTCCGGCTTCTCAGGCTTATCAGCCAGTTTTTTCATCAAACACGTAACTTTTGATTTCGCGTGCTGAATTGTGTAATGAGCAGAAAAAGTAAGGTTGGAGTTACTTTTGTGGCTGTCTATATTGGCTGAAGTTACTGTAGAGGATCATTTTATCAAATTTTTCATATAATTTTTTATTTAATTTATTAATAAAAAAATTTAAATATAATTTTTTCATGAATCAGCCAATACAGCCACTTCAGGCAGAAAATCATACATTTGAGCAGAATCAGCCAATTTTAGTGTTACCAAACGGGCTCTATATTTGTTTCATATTATTTCATTATATATTCTACATACATATTTCAATGTGTCGTACAATATAAACCATAAACTGAAAACATTTTTGCACGGGCACTACTACTTTTTTCTTAATTATTGAAACTTTTTATTGTATTGTGACTTTATGTAAACTTCAAGCTATAATGACTTCACAAAATTAGAAATTTGTACTAGCTATTAGGTTATTGCATGACGGGGCGGGATGGCCCGCCCCGTATGGGGCGGGTCATGGGCCAACATCTAATGACTCATGCGGGTCACAGGGCGGAGCGGGTCCAGCTAGTTATGTCATAGGGCGGGTCCGGATCCTGCACTACCCGCCCCGGCCCGACCCATTGCCATGCCTACATCTAAGGCCGGTTTTGGGCATGTGCAATGAGACATACGCCAAGGGCTCATTGCTCCACTAGAACTCATAAATTTCTCAATTATATGTGTGTGTATATATATTATGTATACATTTTAAGATCAATAAAAATTAAAAAATAAAATCAAACTTATAACTTCTTTTTATACTTTCAATTCATCATTCAACAACATCTACATGCTACAAGTGTAAGTTTTAAAGCATCCACATCAGAATTTCTTGGGATCATACTGCACCGTTTCTTTTGGTTCATAAACGGTTAGTGCATTAATGTTAATATTTTGATCTACTTATCTCATGTATTCTCATGATTCATTGATAATATTTCGCTAATTTTATTTGGTTTTCTCATGTAAGTGAAATATTGGACATTTGAACCATAGTATCCTCAATTTAGAAACTTGTAGTTTGTTTTAGTCTACTGAAATTGTAATATGAAAAAATTACAACTTATATGATATAATTTTCACGTCTTCCCCAAAATCTTTTGGGATTAAGGCTTGGATGTTGTTGTTGTTGTTTTTGTTGTCGCAAGTAATAGTTGTACTACTTGTTTCATTCAGATGATTTAAATATATAGTATCATCAACTCGATGTCACTTATCAAATATAATTACTTTATTTTACTTATACATTATTTATAATAAAAATTATTATAAACATTTACACGTTATCAGAAAGGTCTGCTCTAATTTTACTATCTTGGGCCCATAAAATGTCAGGACCGGGCTCACACCACTCTAATTTTTTTTAATCGTCAATTAACCTTCTTTCATATCATAAATTTCAGGATTATTACATCAATCAAAGGAAAAACAAAACTGACACCAACTAAATTCCAACAATTACGACTGTAAACCCTATGATCAGACTTAGAAACGGTCACCCCTGAAAGAGCAACGCGAATCGCTAACCATGTAGCGGGTTTGACACAGCCAAATGACAAAGAAATAATAACTAATAGGAAAACTTTCACGGACTCTGTCACCTCGTACAACCCATGACGGTGGTTCCGGAGAGTGGTACCATTCTAATTGACCCTCCATTGTCAATCGTCATCTGACCTGCTCGAAAGCCGTGCAACTCTCCTTGTCCCGCACTCTTAGCAAATCCACCGCTAGCGGTCATCTTCATTGTTGTCATGCCCTTGCTACCCAAACTCATTCTTCCTCCCAAAAAAAGAGAACCAATCGGATCGTCTATTGCATAGAATCAAAATGAAAGGAAACGCCATAGCAGATCAACGTTTGACAGCAACCGAGCGCTAATCCTGACGACGTAATCCAAACAGAAACACACAGATCGAACAAAAATGGCCAGAATCCACGATCAGAATTGATCGCCGCCGGAGAAAAAGGCTCTAGCGGCTAGGAAGCCCTAGAGAGAGAACGACTGCGCAACCGTAGGTCCAGAAGTAAACAAGTTTAATTTATGGTTTATTTTAAATATGAACTTTATTAAAATGTAATGATGATAGTTTGGGTTTCAGGGTATTTGTAGAAAATTACTTCCAAATTGGGTTGTTATATCTGATCTATTGGCCTAATTTTGATACTGGCCCAACTCTAACTGAAATTAGTCCATAAAACCAAAATTAAACGGTGATTAGCCCTCAAACCATCCGCATCCCCGCGCCGTCTAAAAACATAAATATGAATTCTGTTTATATGATAGTATGATACATATTACTTTTAATAAATTAATTAATGTATTTGCTAAATTGATATGTAAAAAAATACATAGAGTGTATTGTATTGACGGTGTTAGAATGCGAGGAAAAACGATATTGACAGAGTCATGCGCCGTCTAAGAACTTAAATATGAACTCCGTTTATATGAAAATAGTGTATCTACTCTGTCAATATCGTTTTTCCTTGCATTGTAACACCATCAACACAATACTCTCTCTCTATATTTTTTACATATCAATTCCGTAAAACAATAATTAAATTATTGTAAGTAATGTTTTTCTTTGGGGGTTTTCCCTAAAAAATTATGAAACTAAAAAAATACACATCTCAATGTAAAAAAAAAAAATCGTTATTATTTTTACTATGTTGTAATAAAAAATACAAATGAGTTTATGCAAAGTTTGATTATTGGTGAGGCACCATGAAATAATAGTAAAAATGCCATTTTAATGGCATTTTTAAAATACAATTTGGCATTTCTTTTAAAAACCAAAGCAAATGAAGAAGATGAACATTATTTGCCATCATCGAGGGAGAAAGAGAGAAGAAATAGAGAGGTGGGATTGAGGAAGACCAAGAGGAAGCAAGAAAGTGAGAACACATATGAACTTACTTGCCACTCTGCCGCTCGTCGCCGCTTGCCGCTCGTCGCAGCTCGTCGCCACCCTTTGTAGTAGCTCGCTGCCATTTGTGTAGGTGGTCTCTGTTCTTGCGCTCACAGTTGCACAAGAGAAAGGAGATGCGCAGGTACGATCGATTAGAAAAGGGGAAATGTGTTGCATGATGGAATTAAAGGAAGTGGGGGTAAATTGGTACAATAGTCCTATTTAGGGGATAGAAATATACTTACTCCCATTTGGGAATTTAAAAAACATTTTAGTCCTACTTAGAGCAAAAAACTCTATTTTTTTACTGAAAGATTTTAATATGATGAACGGTTTTCCCATTACACTTTACACATATCATTAATCTACTTATCACTTAGCACACAATCATGTTTAACATCAAAGGAATAAACATATTGAACTAGATTGTCATCTTATTAGAGAGAAAATTCTTAATAATTTATTTAACTTGTTCCCAGTATAAACAACCTTCAACTTGCGGACTCCACTCTTTGAAGACTTCACTTCCAAGATGAACATGACAGACATTTATGCCCATCATCAGGGGTTTCAAGGACTCAAAATAAAAGAAATCAAGAAATAGGACCAGGTAAAACCGTAAAAAATAATGATATAAATAGTACTACGTAAAATAGTATATATTCGTACTTTTACTTCTCTGTTAATATATAGGAAAAGCCTTTATTGTAAAACACTTTATTTAAACTTTTTCCATCATTTGCAATGAAACTAAAAATTCACTATTTTTTGGCTTGGGAATATGATGGAACAAAACAAAATAGTTCACTGAATTGTCTGCGCTTCTTTGTTATAAAGTAGTAATCAATCCATGCAATTTTCGACGTGATTTTCAGCATGGGTCATCGAAAACAGCTTTTTTCTGCTTTAGTACATGGATAAGGTTGCGTACATCTGGGGGCCCTTACCGCACCGTAAGTGGGAGCCTTTGCAGCAATGGGGTGGTGATGATGATGAATCAACTCTTATATTCTTCTTCTAAGAACTCAATCTTTGCAATTCTCGACCATCTCATGCACAATATCTAGATAATAACATTGCAAAAAAGAAAGAGAGAAACTCTAGTAATTAACTTTTGTGTCTATTCCTCTCCTGTGATGTATGTGTTCACACTTTTGCATTAGAAATGCTTTAAAGTATAAGATGTGTTGTGAATATGTTGATATGTTCTTGAGTCATTGGAGTGCCCCAAACAAGTTTTCTAAGCAAAGAGCAACCAAAGCAAACGAGGAAAATGTGTCTTCAAAATCTTATCGGCCTGCTCAATTGGTATGGAAAACATGCTTTGGGAATTGGGCCTGCACAACCAGAATCGAATTGCATCCCTAATAAGCTATACTACCTTGGTACTTTAACAGCCATCTTGCTCCACCAATTAAGAACAAACACCAATTATATGATATGGAATAATTTTCCACATTTTCCCGAGTGGGAAACACCTTTGAATTGCGAAGACATGAGTCCTGCGGAGTTTCCAGGGTACAAAACTCCGTTTGTCAGGTCAGAAAAGGGAAACATATATACTATACTGTCAAAAACTTCATAAAATACGTTAATGTCTATACATTGTTACCGAAATGCATGTAGTATAATATATATTCACATTGAGCTAGAACAATAAAAATGGCTTGATAACTGATGGAAAGAGAGGTAGGAATCACTCCATAGTGCATGAATCATTCTAATGCTGAGATGCAGCACTAGCAACGAGCAAGAACATGACATATGAAGAGAGGGAGAGAAGAAACCAGGCGAAGAATGCCATAGCTATTGATATTTGAAACATGGTGCACGACAGCTTTTCCATTCTTTGGCAGATGGTTGTGTCCCTGTCGAACAAGATTGCCACTCCAGCTGATGCGCATGCTGCTGCCAGCGATAGTGTCGCTGTCACCTGCATGTATTGTGTAACACCACTTTAAGTGCAAACCCGGCACATCCATCTGGTAAGGATAATTTTTCTTTGAAAATGCAGAATTTTTTTAATATGTTTTTTCTTCAAATTTAATTATAGAAACCAATACTCCGTCTAAATGTGTCACCTGCATCTTTGGTAAGAGTACATTTACTTGGAACTGCTGAATTTTTTCTTATTTTTAGATAAATTAAAATAATAATGCCTACAATGAAGGTCAAAATGTAATTTACCTTCATAAATAGATACAAACTTCATAATGACCTTTTTCATTACCAACAGAATTAAGTTAGTGTTATGTAGAAAAGGTGGTCTGCCAAACAAAAAGCTAAGTGCTTGTTCGGTATCACTTCTAACTTTCCAGTTTTTTGCTTTATGATATCATGGATCGATTCATGTTAGCCGACCCCAAAAGTTTTTAGGAATAAGGCTTGGATGTTGTTGTTGTTGGCTTTATGATTTTCAGAGTTACTTCATATATGATGTAGGTGGTGTAATGAATAAAATAAGTAGTCTTATTCATAAGAATCGTGTGCATTTGAAAACCACTTATCATTTTCATAATCTTGTTTTAGTTTGGGAAAAAAAGCATTAAAACAAATATGATTGGTGGGCCTAAAATGATTTATTGTGTCTTGAAACTTGTTTAATCTGCTAATTGGCCTTCCACAGTTAGGATCGAGTCTAGTAATGAGTGCATATTCAGCTCAAACACATACACTCTGATCTACGAAGATGAGTGGATGTTTTTTCTTTAACTTTGCTGACTTAGAGTTAATTCACATGTTCTTTGTCGTAGGAAAAAGGCTGTCCTTAATCTTAAAACAACTCAACAAGCCCTTGCATGTTTTTTGAGGAAAAATACAGCTAAGGAGTCTCTTGATATTCCAACATGAGTTAACTTTGAAAAGCTAAGGCTCCATTTGATTGTAGGAAAAACTTAAATTGTTGTCAAAAATATTTTCTATGCAAAATGTTTTCCTAAAAAATAGGTTGCTGTATTTACAAAAGTAATGTTTGGCATGCATAAATGGGTGAAAAAAGTTGTTTTACTATTTAAAGCTGGGAAGTCATTTTCTGCTAAAACCTATACTGTGAACATCTTTTCCTGTACCAAATAAGGGAGAATCCAGAAAATACTTGCCAGGAAACAAACGGGGCCTAAAACTACATCACGAAACCTGTAATGCTTGAGTTTCTAGCAGATGAAAGTTACAAGAAAAACAGGTCAACCCGTAATTCAATACCCCTTGTTTGGATGTGGGTATTGAGGGGCGATATATTTTATTAATTCAATCTTCCATTAGTTGGTTGGATGGGGGGTGAAAACGAGAACTCATGAAGAAATACATGATTTTACTATGAAGATAGTCATGTTCTGAATCTTCTGATCTAATATTAATAACTAACAGGTGATAAAAATCCGTAAACCACTACCCCCCCCCCCCTCCAAATTCCTGAATAAAATGAGGTATAGAGTAATAAGAGCCTACGACTAATCCCCTCCCTTCAAATTAGCTGTCGACATGTCATTTTGAATGCCATTCTTAACCTCAGAAAATAAACATCAAGAAGCAAATGAATTACAAGATATAATAAAAAAAATCTAAAAAAAGAGCAGGAAGAGTACGTACCCAATCACCAACAACGAACAGGCTCAGTAAAACATGATTTTGCATATCTCTTTTCAACCGCAAAGCATGAATATCAAGACACGCAAGTGCAAAGCTCCATAACACTTGAAGCCCCATTGAAGCAATCAAATAGCTGATCCAAATGGCAAGCACAACTCCATAAGAAAAATAATCAAAATGAGATTTCAAAGCAAATATCTATTATCTAGGGGGGGATTAACTTAAAAGTCATCTCAAATAATTTCAAGCTTTAGATTGTGTGCTTCACAGCATAAACATATCTACATGAGTATGCAAACAAAAGATATGGAAATGGAAAAAAAAAATATGCATGATCTGAAGTAAATATGTGGTAGGAGTGTGGGACCCTTCCCCGGACTCTCGCCTTACATGGATGCCAATGTGCATTGGGCTGCCCCTTTTTTATATACATGATCTGAAGTAAAAGCATAGATATCACAATGAACTCTAACTCCCAACGTATTTATACACTAAGTAGTAAGTAGTTAAGTCGGTACTCAGTGACTACTTGGTTGGGGCCGAGTAGTGAGTAGAACCAATTTCTCGACCATGTACGGGAAAGCAATTTTAAAATATATGCAACTAAACTGTAGTAATATTAGTCTGGTAAGTCTTACGTGTATAAAGCAAAATAAATAATCCACATTAACTAGCATATATCATAAACATTTAAAGAAGATAAATTATTAAACCAATCCTAGTTTTTAAATTATATCCTCAATTAACATTCAGAATAATTTCCAGGATAATTGATTACAACAAATTACTTCTGCACCACACATATTCTTAGCAATAATTAGGTGAAGAAGAAGTGGAGAAGACCGCAAAGAGCTCACCAAGACACAAAGCCACCACATTAGTTGAATATTTTGTAATCTTCCCTTTTTCCTTTTAATGAAAAAAGTCTACTTTTATTTCAAATCCCATAGTATCCGCATCTTTAATTTCATAATTCAGATTTCACACAAAAACCATTGTAGTATGATGAGTTACTTGGCATGTAAAACGACTCACCAAGTCATGAATATTCCCAAGAACTAAGCAATGAACTCAGGATTATGGAAAGGAACTAACAGCTAAACTACATGGTATGCATATGTTCGAGTAGAAAGTGTATTTGAAAGGACACCATAGGGAAATGTCAAAACCAAACTATAAAATTTGAACAAAGAATATCAAGATCACAAGAAATAGTACAAGAAGTTACCAAGAAGCATACCTTTGGAATTCAGAGTGATCTACATAAAGAAGTTATTCAGCAAAAAAAAAATAGTACTCCCTTCTTTCTGTTTTAACTTTATCTTGAGAGAGAGAAAAGACATTGCCTCAATACTTATTGTCACTTCAGAACATCAAGAGAGCAATACTGCAACCTTAACTCTTACCCTTCCAATATTGTTACATAGTGCTTTAAATCATTAATAGGAGTATTATAGTCATATTTTAGTATTTTTAACATGACATGGGAAAACTTTATTTCTTTCTTAATATGTGTGCATATCAATGTAGTTAAGATCGCGAGTTGACTGGCAAGATCACATGATCTTACAAGTGGAGTAGTGTGAAACGGTCTGGATTGTGCTCCTAATCGAGAAAAATGGCCATCTACCGAGACCCAAACTCTGCTGACGTGAATCAGGCGGGCTGTGTTAGGTCATCAATGCAGGTCGAAGAAAGAATGGAAAAAACTTAAGAAGCATCGGAGACTCGGCCTATAAAATTATTCACAATTCATTCTCTGCAAGCCAGAGCAACTCAACGTCTCTATAAACAAATAGCCTCATATAGCTTTTCTATTCAAATTCTTCTCAGAAATGGAGTTCATGATGATTTTAGTGCTCAACTGCTTACTCCTTTTCTCTTCGAAAGACCAACAAGATTCTCAATCACTTCTAGCCTATGTTGCATGGGGAAATATGAAATGGGAAATGCCATGTTTTAATGGAGAAGTGAGTGCTTGGAGAGTTTCTAAAGAGTTTCTGAAACAGGAACACACTTTTTCCTACTAGACCCAGTGCATATGATTTGTACTCTCTAAGACGATCCACCTTTAGTTGCAATTCAGAGAGGCAATCCCAGTCACGGGCCTATATCCCCATTCTGACCATGGCCAAGATTATTTCATCCTACTTGACTTGTAAGACCGATCGCACAATACTTAATTGTGAATGACTCGAGACCTTAAAAACATTGTTGGCAATAAAACAACCTATCTTCCACTAAATATAAAGCTGCTCTTCTATGAAGTGGCCAAAAAATCCCCAACTCTCTCGTTTCAATCACAGGTAGCAACATTAAAAATATATGTTCAGTGATTTGATTTTTATTGTGATATCACAATATAATTACATGAATAACATCAAATCAAACAGCCTATTAAAATCTGAAACTAAATAAGTGATAGTCATAAGGAATGGTAGGAGAAAACTAAGAAAAAAGGAAATCAGAACAAGGAAAGTAACAGTAGGAGAATGTAGTACCAGAAAGCAGTGGCAGCGGAGAAACCAGAAGCAGAAGCCATAACCGCAATAGACGCAGCAGCGAACCCACACTGTCCTATCCTCAAAAACAGCCCACTCACCGTCCCTGGGCTCCCAAATAGAACCATCATAGTCTCTCTTTATAACACCGTATTGTTCTATTATTATTATTATAATGATCCCTAGTATCTATATTGTACCAAGATTGAATCTTTCTTGAGAATGTGCTCTTTTTCCGGGAAGACGAACAGAAAGGTGATATCTTTCTTCAGATCATTCTCACGGGATGCTACTACTGCACTGGGATTTCGACAGCAAGAACACAAAACACAAACCCTAAACTACAGAAATGTGTGAGGAACGAGGATCACTAAACCAGAAATCCGATTACAGCTAGCTTATACTCCGTACAAGGAATGTCACTAAAATCCAGAATTAGATGTGAATAAAGTACGTGTGAGTACTCTGAGATTAGGTGTAAGAACACCGGTATCATTTACTAGTATTTTGTAGTGTCATTTTGGTCCACATCTTAACAGAAAAGTGACGGAAATGGAGGAGTGGTGGACACTTTCAGCGAATTGGCCACCTTGCCATATCATACCATTTGCTTTTACTCCGTATTGTATTGGACAACCGGTAGTGTTAGGTTGTGTTTTCCATTGCCTTTGGAAAACACTTCTCATTTAAGAACCCTGGTGTTCGCAAACATAAACTTTTTCTTAATTTTGAGCGGTTAAAAGCACAGTTATCTTCAAGAATTCATTTGAATGTCTTCCTGATTGACTTTTTAGCTGAAATTTGGTATGAGTAAACTAGACTTAATGAATAAGATGCTCAAAAAAAATTATCAAAAAATTCCACTGGGAACCGCCTCAAATGGCACGTCCGGACAGAATCTTCTATATAAGGACTTATTTGATCCCTTTTATGCAACTTCGAGGACCAAACTGACCTTTTACTCCTTTTACTTTGGGGGTATTAATTAATTCTTACGGCATAGGAGAAATCATTAGTACTATGTGTGAAAGTGATCTCCAATAATTTATTTCATGTTGTGTATATATATGTGTGTGTGCAAGTATATATTTAAGCAGCGGCGGAACTAGGGGGTGCGAGCCGGTGCCGGCGCCACCCCTTGTCCGGAAGAGTCAAGCTATATATATATATGGTTATCCGCCGCCCGCCCCTGTTTTCTGAAACTTCATCTTCTTCATAAAATCGTCGGCGCCCAGATCTACTTCCTTGCGAAGCCCGTTTTGTGTTTTAAAAATTCAATAAGTTAAATGGTGTCGTTTGTTTAAGTTAAATGACAAACTAAGTAAAATGAAACGGCACCAAATACCCGTCGCAACTATACTACGGAGCAAAACAATGGAAATTTCCTTCCTCGGTCAGCGGTCTGTAGGGAGTTTCCACCTTCTTTCTTGGAAGTTGCCAAGAGACACCTTAACATGGAGGCACCTTCTTGGAAAGAGCTCTCCAACAAATAGGTGTGGGAGAAGATATGGAGATACCTTGGAAGCTTGGATGCAACTTCCTCTTGTCTCCAAACTAGTCCTATAAATAGAGTGCTCCATTGTTGTTCATAGTATCAGTTTAGAAAGTGAGAAAAGTGTGTGAAGAGTGAAAATACACTTAGAGTAGAAGTGTATTGGTGAGGATTGGTTTTTTGTAATAGTTGAGTGTGAGAGTTTGCTCCTCCTATTGTAATTCTGTTCTTGATATTGAATAGAAGAATTTTCCAATCCCAACAAGTGGTATCAGAGCGAGGTTGAGTTTCCATACACCGTTTTCTCATTTTCAGATAAATTTCTACAGGTTAGAAAATCGTGATTTTTGAAGTTGCTCGGAATCACGATCTGATCATACCGTTAGATTCGTCTCGTCGGGACGAGAAATCCAGTATTTTTGGGGAATTTTTTGGCCACCGAAAGAGGCCGTACGCGCCGCCCAAACGCCGCCTGAAAACTGCCTGCGTCATCGCTGCGTCATCAGGCTGTCCAGAGGAAGAAGACGACCAGTCAGCGCCACGTCACGCCCGTCAGCTGACACGTCACCCTACCAGGCCGCCGATCCGTGCCACGTCATCGGCCACGTCGTCGCCACGTCAGCGACACGTGGCGCCACGTCATCGACACGTGGCGCCACGTCATCGCCAGCGCAGAGCCAGCTGTTGCCACGTCATCCGCCTGCTGGTCTGCTCACTGGGCTGCTGCCTGAACCGGACCGAACCGATTCGTACTTGTGGAGGCCGGTTCACCCATTTCCAGACCGGTTTTGGACGAGGTCAGACCAGTTCCTACCATTTTCGGCCAATCCGGATCCAACGGTGAGCTCCGTTTGTCCAAATTCGGCTCCGAAAATAAGGTACAAGATATTTTGAGTGTTTTATTATGGATAAATCATCATCGGACACCATGATTGCACTCACTTCCACAAATTACAATATGTGGAAGCCTCGGATGGAGGATTTGCTAAATTTGAGGGATTTAGCCGATCCTCTTTATAATAATGGCGTGAAACCGGATAAAAAGACGGATGAAGAATGGACAAAAATGAATAGAAAAACTGTCGCACAAATTCGACAGTGGATAGATCATAGTGTGTTCCACCATGTTGCGCAAGAACAAAGTGCTTACACACTATGGGAGAAGCTTGGTAGCATGTATCAAGCAAAAACCGCCCGAAATAAGACGTTACTAATGAGGAGATTAGTAAACCACAAGTTACGAGGAGGTATTTCGGTGTCAGAACACACCAGTCAATTCCAGGATCTTGTGAATCAGTTGAGCACCACAGGATGGGTTCTCAAAGATGAAGAGCAGGTGATACTACTCTTGAGCTCTCTACCTGACAGCTGGGAGACTCTTGTTGTCACTCTCAGCAATTCTGCTCCCAATGGCAAAGTGACTATGCAGATGGTCACAGATGCCCTTATGAACGAAGAAGCCCGAAGAAAAGAAGCCGGGACTGAACAATCATATGCCTTCGTGTCAGAAACCAGCAGACGAGGGGGAGGCAGAAATGGAGGAAGAAGTCGAGGTCGAGGCCAAGGTCAAAACAAAGGAAATTCTCAAGTTCGCGGCAGATCACAAGAGAGAGGTATGTCCTTTGAAAACAATACTTGGTTTGAAGGATATTGCAATTACTGTAGTAATTATGGGCACATAAAAAGAGATTGTAGAAAGTTTCTACGAGAGCAGCCACAGACGAGTCAAAATACTAGCCAAGAAGATGGTGAGACCATGGTTAGTTTGTCATCAGACGTGTGTCTTGTTACACATGGTGAACAAGAATGTTTGCACGTAGGTACTCATGATGTTGAGTGGGTGATTGATACAGCCGCATCATTTCACGCTACTCCACACCAGAACTTGTTCACATCTTATAAGTCCGGAGACTTTGGAGCTGTGAAGATGGGAAACACGAGTTTCTCGAAGATTGTTGGCATTGATGATGTGCACATAACAACCAATGTCGGATGCGCACTTGTGTTGAAAGATGTTCGATATGTTCCGGATCTTAGATTGAATCTTATCTCCGGTACAGCTCTGGATTAGCAAGGATATCTTAACCGATTCAAAGAAGGTACGTGGAAGTTATCTAAAGGTTCCTTGGTTGTTGCAAGAGGCCATATTTGTGGCACTCTTTATAAAACTCATGCAAAGTTGTGTCATCCAAGTCTTAATGCTGTTGAAGAAGAGATATCACCAAACTTGTGGCACCGGAGGCTAGGCCACTTGAGCGTGAAGGGATTGACAACTCTTGCAAAGAAGCAAGTCATTTCCATGGGCAAAGGTGTTGCCCTAGATCCATGTGAGCATTGTCTATTCGGGAAACAACACAGGGTTTCCTTCAGTTCTACCAGGAAGAACCATTCAGAGTTACTCAGTCTTGTACACTCTGATGTATGCAGTATGCGGACCCATTGAAGAGGAGTCACTTGGAGGAAGCAGGTATTTCGTGACATTCATTGATGATGCATCACGAAAGGTATGGGCTTATTGTTTGAAGAGTAAGGATCAAGTGTTTGATCGCTTCAAATTATTTCATGCCATGGTAGAAAGAGAAGCAGGGAAGAAGTTGAAGTGTCTACGTTCAGACAATGGAGGAGAGTACACTTCCCGAGAGTTCTCAGCATATTGCGCTGCATACGGAATCCGACATGAGAAGACGGTTCCACGAACTCCGCAACACAATGGTGTAGCCGAAAGAATGAATCGGACCATTATGGAGAAAGTTCGTTGCATGCTGAGTATGGCTAAACTACCTAAGCCATACTGGGGTGAAGCTGTATTGACAGCTTGTTATCTTATAAACAGGTCACCTTCTGTTCCTTTAAACTTTGAAGTGCCAGAAAAGAAATGGTCAAGAAGAGATGTTTCTTACTCTCACTTGAAAGTGTTCGGGTGCAAGGCATTTGCACATGTGTCCAAGGAGTTGAGACAGAAGCTTGATCTCAAGTCAAACCCATGCATCTTCATCGGGTATGGTGATGAAGAATTCGGATACCAGTTGTGGGATCCCAAATTGAAGAAAGTTGTACGAAGCAAAGATGTTGTATTTCATGAAAACGAGTTTCATGAGTGTGCTCCAATAATCCGCCAACAACATACTCTAGAAGACGAAGTGCCTGTATCATCAAACATTTCTCTCAGCGACGAGGAGATGCATGATTCTACTGAACAAGAGAGTGATGGTTCAGCAGGTGATGATGATACTCACGGTGATGATATTCCTCAGCAGGGGGAGCCTTCATCTGAAGACGAAGCTGAAGGTACTCATGTTCGACGTTCTATGCGAGAAATAGTTCCACAGAGAAAGTATTCCACATCTGATTGGATACTTGTTGCTAGCGAGGGGGAGCCAGCGAGCATCGCAGGAATGAGAGAAATAAAGAAAAAGGTGGAGGGGGAGATTTGTAGGGAGTTTCCACCTTCTTTCTTGGAAGTTGCCAAGAGACACCTTAACATGGAGGCACCTTCTTGGAAAGAGCTCTCCAACAAATAGGTGTGGGAGAAGATATGGAGATACCTTGGAAGCTTGGATGCAACTTCCTCTTGTCTCCAAACTAGTCCTATAAATAGAGTGATCCATTGTTGTTCATAGTATCAGTTTAGAAAGTGAGAAAAGTGTGTGAAGAGTGAAAATACACTTAGAGTAGAAGTGTATTGGTGAGGATTGGTTTTTTGTAATAGTTGAGTGTGAGAGTTTGCTCCTCCTATTGTAATTCTGTTCTTGATATTGAATAGAAGAATTTTCCATTCCCAACACGGTCAATGGTAATTTGCTCAATTGTTCAGCCGAAAAACTGAAGAGGCGGAAGTTTTACTTTTGCTTATATAGTTTTAATAATCTTTCATTCTTTTACTTTATTATGTAATTCAACAATTTTATAATTGTGCATAGTTGACTACTTGACTAATTGTTTGAATAGTATAGTACTCCGATCCATAGTAAATTAGTGATGTGTACGGCATATTTGTATCTATGATACTCCCTCAGTCCCTCCCTATTTATATATTCCCTACATTTGGTTTTGACACAATATTTTAAGATAGAATAGTGTAGAAAAAGTAGGAGAGAGTGTGTAAAAGTATCAAAGAGAAGATAAGAAGTAGATAAGTTGAGTATTTTATAAAGGATAAACTTACCAAAAATGGAAGTGTATGGAACATTTAAATTCATCCCAAAAAGGAAAGTGTAGGGAACTTTTAAATACGGAGGGAGTATTTGAATTAGAATATATGATTAAATTAGGCTTAAGCTTCTTGTTCAGAAATGACACGTTATGTAGATAATAATTACATTAGGTAACTACAATATATTTGAGAGATGTAGTTATGATGAAAATAATGAGGTCAATGATGATATGTGATTTATTGTGTATTATTTTAATATTTGATGATTAATTTACAATTTGAGATTTGAGAGTGCTAATTTACTTCTAAAATAAAAATGAGAACTTTTATCTTGAATGTTAAAGAGACAATCAAGTAAAAAATTTAAGCGGTGACGAAAGGCAGAGGACATATAATTTATCTTGTATATTTACATACTCCGTACTTCGTACTAGTGACTAAATATAAGTTCAGGCTATGAAGCCATTTAAATTAGTGAACGAAGTTTCATATATGAAATTAACTAATTACTATATCAATTTATTGTTGTATAATTCTTTAGGTCATTTCGTATTTTTTTCAACACCCGCTTAAAAAACGTTCTGGTTCCGCCACTGTATTTAAGACAATATATCATGTATGCACATTTAAGATGGTAAGGGTATTTTTTTACTTTGATTTAAATGTAATATGGAGTATTATACATACATCACTTTTTTTATCAAACTCTCCAACTTTTACCTTTTAATCAAACTCATTCTATTTACAAACATTATCTACTTTTACTATAAATCATTTTTTCAAAAATCACATATATAAATCACTTTTAAAAAGCATAAGCAAACACAAACAGAGCCTAAGTGTTAATCCCTCAAAACTATTTTCAAATTACTCCAAATCAATTTGATTCTTATTTGAATTTAGTTTAACTTATACTTGAGTTCAACTCGACCAAATTAAATTAAACTCAAATTATAAACAAACTCGATTCGAAAAGCTCGCAAGCTACTCGTTTCTCGGTTAATATTGATTTTTTAGATTAATACATATGACATTATATCATATATCCATAGAATAGTTCCATGCATAAAAATTATACTTATCTTTTACTAAAATATAATAAATATTCACATATGGGTCCCAAGTGAGGTAAAAGTCTAGGGGGTGAATAAACTTTTAAATCTTTTCAATTTTCAATCTTTTTTCCTCTTAACAGAATGAGTTCCAATATCTTTTGGGGGATATTGAAATATGCAGCGGAAGTCTTGACCTCAAGAGTGTGACACTTTATAGAAACAAAGGGTATGACCCTTTTAGTTGTGATGAGATGGATGAAACAATGGTCAATTGTGTTTTCCAGAATCAGCTGACTCAAGAAGCTGGCTGCAAAACCTGAAGGAGCTGGCTGTCAGAATTTGGTTCACTTAGGGGGTGCATAGATATCAAGTCTATAAATACAGTGTCTTAGTGAACTTAGTTCATCTTAAATTTAAAAATATCATAGACTGAGGACCCAAATTAAATCAATCTTGATCATAGCTTGATTTACTTGCTTTGTTCCACTTGACTGAGGCAACATGGTTGGTCTTTGTCTTCTAGTGACATGGATAAAAAATCTTCACTTCAACTTGTTTCCTCATTTCAATGCTGAGATAAAGATGATTTATCTTTATTTCTTTTACGCGTAGAAATGTAGTATAAAAGCTGAGTGATGTTTCAATGCTTCCTTACAAATAACAAATACTTGTTTTAAATAAAATAAATTCAAAAGAAGTTTATAATGTGATAAAAATCTCTTATAAATTTACTTTATATCAATTTGTTATTTTGACTGCAAGTTGGTCTTTTGTTTAATTGTTTTTGTGATAAGAGAAGAGTGAGTTGATTTCGGATGCTTTAACTGGAAAACATATTTTCAGCCGGCTGCCAAGTTTTCAGCTGGCTGCCGAAATCTGTGTTTTCAGTTGGCTTCCTTTTCAATGAATACCAGTTAACTCTTTTGCATACCTTTTCTTTTGGATTCTTTTCTTTTTGTTTTATGGTACGTTTCTTCTCTTTTTAATACTCTTTGCTTTTCTTGAGTACTTATCACTAATATAGGAGCACATTACAATTAACAAAGTAGAACAAAATAAGAGAATCTAGTCTAATACATGAATAAATAAAAAGGGGTGACATCGTCAAAACAATACATATTAATCATCAAAATCTAGGGGACCTAACATATTTCAAATGAGAGCATGATCTAAGAAGAGAAATGAGAATGATTCTAAAGTGTTTTGACTTGGGTATAGTGCATTATGTGAAATAAAAATATGCAGTATCAGAAAATAGAAAATGTGCATTATTTTAACTATAAATTTGCACCTCCACGAATCATAATGTGCATCATCACAAATCGTTTTCACTTGATAAAGAAATTCAACGTGTATACCGCTGAAGTTTCCATTGATATTGATTTAGATGCATGGTAGTATTTTTTGAAGGAGTGATATGGTCGCACAATCCCAGGGAATGTGAAGGAGTGACATTAAGTGAGCCCAGGCCCCACAGGAGTTGAAGTCACTGAGATTTGTACGCCATAAACTTATATTTCTTTCATGTGGAATGCGGGCTTAGTGACTCATATGTCTTCTGGTGTAGCGACTGGAGGTACTAAGGTGTGAAGAAGACATTGAGACTATAAGTTGTGGAAGTAGATTACGTTAATGTGGGAACGAGGCATAGTGACTAATCTGTGCGTAGTTGTAGGGGCCAATGACCTGATTGCTGCAATGGGCAATGAAGTCACTTTGTCAAGGTGTTGTCAGCGACCATCGCCAGTAATTAAAATGTCAGTGACTCCATCGCCGCTGTCAAGGTGCCACCGTTGCCAAGGCTGCCAAGCCACTGTCAGTGACCTCACCACTCCGACATCAAACTTCACACATGAGGGCAAATGGGCAATGGAACAAAGTTGTACGATCATGTTGTTGTTGAATATGGTGAAGGAGAAAACACAGACAACACATAAGAGAGGAGAAAGATGGTGATTCAATTCACACGGAGGAAGAGAGCGATAGGGCAGCGGCGGCCGCCCCTATGCCAAAACCTAGTTTTGGTCACTGCATGTGTTGTGTGAGGAGGTAAGGGATGAGAGAGGCAAGTCATCATGAGGGAGGGCAAGGAGGGTGGCTTGTACGTTCCGGCGGTGGGTGTTGTACTGTTGATGTCGTTGGGGCGGAAGAGTGTTTGTGCATGGATAATGGCTGCGTGATATGAAGAACTTAGAGAATGGGTAGGATTTTACAATTTACATTAAGAAGGATTGTTAATGAGGAGAGAGAAAATATTTATAATTAGAAAAGATTTAAATATTGTTACAAGAGATGCAACATGATCAAACTTACACTCCATTTCTAAAAAAATGAGCTCTACATGTTACATTTTGCGAAGTCCAAAAAGAGTTTATGAGAACCCTATCCAATTTAGCCCAAGTGGTACCCCTATGCCAAGTAAATAGTTCCCCGGTAGAAAAGATTTAAATACAGTAGAGCCTAGGAGGTGTATTTGAATTAATTAAGTCACATTTTAGGAAAAAATAGAAAAGAGTCATACTTCTGGAAATGCAAACACCAATAGTAATATTGGGGCCATTTTTTCCAATTTATACTCCCTCCGACCCAAAATTATTTTCATTCTTTCCATTTGGGTCCGTCCCAAATTTATCTCTTCTTTCTATTTTTGGCAAAGAATTTGTGGTTCACAACCATTTTTACACATTCTTACACATTTTTCTCTCATCTGCACAACTCTCCACCACACAATTCCCACTATCTTAAAAAGTATGCCCAGTCAAAACAGAAGTTTTTTTTGGGACGGAGCCACGGAGGGAGTACTCCGTATCATTTTCTAGATTACATAAAACTCGAATACACTCGAGCGGGTAAAAAGAACGGGTGAAGTGAACCAACATCTTCATGGGAATAGAGAGATACGGAGTGCAAAATGAGACAATTAAATGGAAAAGAAATGAAAAAAGATGTGGATATCCCTAAGCACCAATAACACATGTGAATGGGGAAATGATCAAGATTTTGTGACAGTAAAGCATTTCTGACAGTTCAGGATGGGCATGACATCACGGGAGAGAGGCAACGAATCAATGCACGTTTAGACACAGGTGTCTAGAACACGAGTTGTAGGAAAATACTGTCTTCAACCCGCACAGTTTTCGTATTACAATGATGTTTACTCAAATCAGTCCCTCAAGTTACACAACAAAACAGAGCAAAACAATCTTCAAACATGTTCATAAACAAGTGTCACCTTCCCGTCACATAGACCAAGAAGCATGTTGTCGAAGCGCATAAACCCTTAACACATGATATATTTCTCTAGACTACAATTAACACCCCAAGTGAATCTATAACTATGCAAACTGCTGAAAATAGTTATTGTTCCAGAAATGGTCAAGTGGCAAATCAAGGGCTACGGGAAGAACCACATCTTGATGAAGATCGCCAGACCCATTTGGAGAACAAAAGCAGCAAGCAGCACTATAGAAAGTTCATTTGGTTGCTGTATGTGGCGGTTCTTAATATTTAATGCAACAAAGCCAGCTGATACACCCCCGGCTACTAACATGATCACCCACTTTAGAAATTCCACTGGGATCATCAACAAAAACTGCAATATATATTATACAAAATACTCCGTAAATGGTAACATTGAAACCCCTATTAAAATGGTAGAATGGAAAATATGAAGGCGAACAAGTTCAGGTTAGGCCTCCTGGTATATATTATGACGATGATGAAATCTGCATCGGTTTCAAATTCCGAAATTTCAAAGTTGATCAATTTTCCTCAATTGTTATACATCCCTTTGTATCAAACTGTAAGCTTCTCGTTTGGTTGGAGGGCAAGTGGAGAGAGAAGCTATAGACTCCTACAAATTCCTCTTAACTCAAACCCCCAACTTTATGCACTTCAGAGTTTTATTATTCTAAATTCCTTAGTAGCCTTTCTTTTATCAAAATTGTTCTACATTATTATTATTATTATCGTTGTTAGACTGTTACACATATAGGCTATTATATCTTTAATTACAGCATTAATTATATGAAATATAAAATTGTTGTATATTTTCTAAATTGTAATTTCTCCTCCGACCGCCGTTGAGCAAAATAAAACACCTTCATAAACTGCCTCCCCCCAAATCCATCTCTTGAATATTTAAACAAGATACTACACAACCAATGCTTAAATCCACTCCAATTTCTTCTTTTTTTGAGAAAATTCCCAAAATAGTAATAAAAAAAATAGGACATTTCCTCAAATAGTAGTTTCACTGTTTTTTTCTTGAAATAGGACTTGTTCAATCTTATTTTAAGAAATTTTTATTGTTTTATTCTTGTAATAAGACCATATGAGTCCTAAGTTTGAACTTTATTCAGGTTCCACTCTTATTTTGAACAATTTATTTTCTTTTTTTTATGGATAAGAACACATACTTATCAAGCCCTAAAAGGCATAAATTAGTGTGAAAACAGTATTTTCCATTATATAACCTTTCTTATTGCCAGAGATCATCATCAATGGAGTGCAGATAATGATAAAAAATATAATAGACTTACCGAAGTGGGAATGAAAATGAATAAGGAGTATCCCCACAAGCACCAAAAACGTACCAAGCTAGCATTTGAACCAAGATACTGAAGCAAGAAGTAAAACCCTAGTGGAACAATGAGTAAATAACCATATATTGAGCATGCTGCCACATTCACATAGCTCACGTCGAAGGTCCAAGATGTACTAGTTTCACTTCTTTTGTGCATCACATATGTTGCACAGTTTCCAAAGGAAGAAATGACAAATACCAATGTTGTTGCAATCCAGATTAGACCGTAGCTGAAATATGAATGCAAAATGGAATTCAAATACATTGTGTACATCATATTTAGATACATGGCGTGCAAGAATTTTGAACTTACAGATCAGGGTTAGCATCAATTATGCTGAAAAAATCTCCAGTTGTAGGATTTAGAGAGCTCATCAATCTGTTCAAGACAACATCTGTATCTACGTTAAAATATTGAGCATATGATGAGATGCTTAGTACTCCTTTCCAGTTGTTTGTTGTTTGTTGCCCATCCCCTCCTGCAAGAGATATGCAGGTTTAGATTCCAAGCTGAAAACTTAACGTCCGGAAATTCAAATGCTGAACAGATGATGAAAACGGGACAAAGGGCTGAATGCAAGTGGTTACTCAGGATAGACTGAACAGTCCTACCCTAATAAAATTCATTTTTAAAACCTCTAATAGGATTTAGAACGGATAAGAGAAATTATATTAATTCCTCATAAGGTTTGGAATTAGGATGGTAGGTATCTGCTTCTCATTACCCAGCATAAATTTAATTAATAACTCCTAAAGTAAATATACTAAACTACTTCACTCTTAAGAATAAATAGTCAACTAGTGATTCAGACTTATTTGGGGACTTTTGGGGCCTGTTTACTAACAGAGATATTTTCCTGTTTTCTACTTCTGTTTTTCGTTCTCCAGTTTTCTGTTTTTATTTTTCAGTTTTTCTATCTCCAATTTTCTGTTTCTATTTTTTAGTTTTCCATTTTCAAATCTGAAAATATGTTCATCAATTTTTTCACCCAGTTCACCAATTCCACACCCTTGACCCCTACCCTTACCACGATCTTACACTCTACCCATACTCCCCCACAACCCTTCATACCCACTCATACCTACTCGTAGGGGTCGGGGTAGGGAAGCTATGGGTGGGGGTGGGGGTGGGGTAAGGGGTATGGTCGGGGTGGGGTGGTAAGGTGTAGGGGTAGGGGGTTGGGTGGGGGGTAGTGGGTAGGGTTTGGGGTAAGGTAGAGGTAGGGTATGGAGTTGAGATAGGATGGCGGTAGGGTGGGGCCGGGATTAGGGTGGGGTCGAGGTAGGGAAGGGGTAGGGGGTGGGGGGGTAGGATGGCGGTAAGGGTGGGGGGTAGTGGGTAGGGTTGGGGTTGGGGTAAGATAGGGGTAGTGGGATAGGGTGGCAGTGGGGTGGGCCCGGGATCTGGGTGGGCCCGAGATAGGGGAAGGGTACGGTGGGGGGTAGGATGGCGGAAGGGTGGGGTAAGATGGTGGTACGAGGGTGGGAGTAGGATGGCAGTACGAGGGTGGGGGTAGGATGGCGGTGGGGTGGGGCCGAGGTAGGGGCATGTGGTAAGGGGTAAGGGGTAATATACGGGTGGGGGCAGGATAGGGTGGGTCGGGGTGGGGTCGAGGTGGTAGGGGGGTGGCAGTAGGGTAGGGTGGATCGGGGTGGGGCCGAGGTAGGGGCATGTGGTAGGGGGTGGGGTAGGGTCATTATAGGGAAAAATGGGTATGCGGGGTGGGGTTGGGTGGGTAGGGTAGGGTAGGGTAGTGGTAAGGGGTAAGGTACGAGGATGGAGGTACCAGAATGGAATCGACATCGGAGCGGGACCGGACCCACCACTAGGTGTAAGTATGCAAATTCATTGCAGCGGCACTATAGCATTTGCGTTTTCCAAATTTGGAAAACTAGTAAAAGTCACTTCTCCAAATCATTAAGGAAAACAGAAACATGTCTCATTTTTTCCGTTTTGGAAAACGATTTGGTAAACGCGTTTTTCTTTTTTCCTTTCTCCAGTTTTCCAGGAATTTCTTTGGTAAACACGTTTCTTGTTTTCTGTTTTCTAGTTTTCCAGTTTTCTGGAAAACTGGAAAATATCTCTGTTAGTAAACAGGCCCTTGTATTTTCGTTTTGCAATAAGATCAATAAGTGATCCTTTGTTATTGAAAATATCTAGGTATAAATGGAACAGGTTCAAATGGGTATCTGGAAAATGTGACAAGAAACATTAAAAGGGGCCAAACTCGGGTACTTCTGGAAGAGATAGGATCTAGGATCTAAAACTAAACGGGCCAAGGATGAATTTGGGACTACATATGATAAATGGGGAGGGTAACCTACTGTCAACAACTCATTATTGAATAATATGCTCATCAACACTTGTGAAAAAGAAAGATCCCTCACTTAGATGAATGAGTTGGGTCACATAATAGCAGGACATAAATACATAATTATGTTTGGAAAACACATCTAAAAACATTATAACTATGAATGTAGGTTAGTATCCCTATATTATGTCCTCTCATTTGCATTGATACTTGTACACTTTTATGAAATTAATGTACATAATTGTTTTTGGTCAAAATTATTTTTGGTCAAAATTATCCTCTACTTCCGTCAGCTAAACTAACAGCGGCTCAACTCGTCCACTAACATTTTTAGGAAGAATACATTACGCTTTATTTGATGTTTTGTCAACTTTGTTTAATTTTCAAGTTATTTTGTGTAATTTTCAAGTTATTTAAATAATGTCATATGCAAGTATTTAAATGAATGTTTTACAAAATATCTGATATTTGTAGCAAATTTTGTGTAGGAAAATCTTAGTAACACGGATCGAAAAGAAAATGTAAAATTTTCTAAATAGGAGTAAAAACGTTTTGAAATTCCAAGATATGATTGTCATATTTTTATTCCCCAAATAGGAGTACTTTCAATCAAGTTTGGCGTTACCTGACTTTAAGCATGGTAGTTTTTTCCAAATTTGGCAGAAATTACTCCTATTTAGGGAATACAAACACAGGGGTCCTATTTTGGTTTTTTAAAACATTTTTACTCCTATTTGAGGTAATTTTTAATTAAAAAGTTTTTTAATCCTACAATCAAACAAAAGGTTAGTCATATACTTTTTATGGCAAAAAAAAGTTAGTCATATAATCAGTTTTTATATTTCAAAGACTACCATTAATATTTTAGTCATTTTTCATATATTTACAAATATTTCATATTTTAAAACAAAAATATAGCAAGATCATATCACATGCTCGTTCAAAAACATCACATGCTTTTAAATATAGGCATAGTTTCCACACTATTTGGCAGACATGGAATATAGCTGATCTGGCTATTTATGAAAAATACATGATACAAAGTATTTCATTAATTATTTACGATAAACAATATTACTTTATATTGGGCAAACTGGACAAACGCTCTCACGCTTTGCGTGAGCAAATGCTAGTCACCATGATAAAACCAAATTCGAGGGTGGGGGCCGGGGGGTCAAAGTCGAGTGCCTGAATTCAGTGAATATGTTCAAGGACCTAATCATTAAAGTTTAAGTGTACTACTCAGTGCGAAGCTCAAGCACAGTTTCTTTTTCCTCTGTTTTCTATGTGTGGGGTGTGTGTGTGAAAAGAGCATAATCTCTGGACCACATTCATCTTCCTTTTTGCAAAGAGGGAGATTTTAACATGGACCTACAGACACAAGTAAGGCCAGCCCCCTGAGAATTTGAGCCAAAAGCTACCCTTTTTAATACTCCATTTGTCCCATAATCTCCCTACTTGCTTTTAGCACGTGGATTATGAAATTGAAATTCTATAATTGAGATTTACTTAGAAATAAAATAAACAATATCTACCACACAATTCTTTCCTCAAAATAAAAGAGAAGGATTTTTTGGACAATCAAAAAGAGGAAGTGAGAGGAACATTATAGGACGGTGGGCAGGGCCGGAGCCAAGCATGAAGGTATGATGTCAAATGACACCACTCAAAAAAATTGTTTCTATATGTATATACATATATAAATTAGAATTTTTAAAAATGACACCATGTATTTATTGAAAACATGGCCAATAAATGACAAATGACACCACTCAAAAAAATTGTTTCTATATGTATATACATATATAAATTAGAATTTTTAAAAATGACACCATGTATTTATTGAAAACATGACCAACAAATGACACCACATGTTTTCCAATATTTACTTCAAATCCTCTCTATATAACATTTTTTTTCAAAGTTATTTTTATCTTTTATCTTTCTTATGTTATTTTATCTTTATCTTTATCTTATCCTTTTTATATGACCTTATCTTTTTATTTTTCTAATCTTTTATTTCTTTTGTGCTCCGATATCAAGGATTGATCTATGTTAGGTGTTTTGTACTCCAAAATCTTTTGAAAATAAGATTTGTATGTTATTGTTGTTTTTTATTGAAACAAAAACCAATAAAATAAAAATTATTATCCAAACACAACTTTGAACGTTGTTGGAAGTCAAATGTATTTTTTGTTAATGCTTACTAATTTCAAAGGATTTGATATTTTCAATATATACTTTTGTTTTAGTTGATGTATGAATACTATAAACGAAATAAGTATTGAATGGGGAGTAAAGTGAACGCAGGAAATTAATAAGTAATGTTATAAGAATTTCTCAGAAAACCGTAAAAGGCCATTCTTATCAAAGCTTAAAAATTTTCAATTATTTATATGTTTATGTGTTAATTATTTTAAAAATGATTAGTTGTTTACTCCACATATGTTTATGCATTAGTTATTTATATGTTTATGCTTTATTTTTTTGCTAAAAAAATGTTTTTGCTTCATTTCATTTACAACATGCATTACTTAATTTGTTGACACCACTCATACTCTAGTCTGGCTCCGTCCCTGACGGTGGGAGTAGTGAATAATCCAACACCTTTGTTCAAATGTATGTCTCCCTCTCCCTCGCCTTCTGCTCTCCCTGACCCACTTATAATCGTCCCTAACTATACTTCACCTCCATGATTACTAAATGTAAGTTTACTTTCAAGATATGACATTCAACTAATTATTACTCATCACTTGATTGTGTTATGAATAGAATAGGACACAAGGAACCTCCAAAAAGTAAACCAAAATAAAACAATGAGACCAAAAACAAAATACAACCTATGTGGAAACTGGATTAGGACAGAAAAAGTCACCGCAATACGTATCCGGGTCTGCAATTATGGGAAGTAAAGTGACGCATGCCTAAGATATTGTCTTTTGACCAATTTAATTCTCAACTTGATTTCATTTGTGATATCTTATATAAGTGCAAACTTTGATGTATGGAGTTAACACTTTAGCAGGTTAACAATAGGATTAATGCCTTTAATTTCTTTCTTTTATCCAAGTGCTAGTTAGAGTATTTCTACTGCTCTAAAATGACCTGCTAACCTAAAATCAATATTTGGGTCTCCAGTAGTTTCAGAGAGCACTTAATCATGCTATTAATTTAAATGATGCATACCACTTGAACCTCCAACAGTTTGATAACCCTGGCCACCACTCCCACCACTATCTGGAGGAAATATCTGTAGATTCGCTTCAGGTACTATAAAACATTTAAGGAAATAAATTAACAAGTGTCTGTTAATAGAAATTATCAAAACAGAACAGAAAGACATTTCCAGTCCCAACTCCAACATACCATTGGGTTTATTGTTAGTTTTTTCTTCAGTGATAACAGCCTGCGTGAGATTAAAAAAAACATCATAATATGTGAAGTTGTGAACAATAAACAGCTGCAAACTGAGCAATCTCTTTTATCTTTTTCTCTTCTAGGATAAGTTTCAACCGGCACGAAAGGCCAACTATTCAAGTCCGTTTCTGGTTCATAATTCAACCAAGCTAATAATGGCCTAATGGGTTACTGGAGTTTGTTTATCATTACCAATTTATCACTTTGAAGGCTTTGGTTGGAATATCTAGTTGTGATCACAATTAAGTTTAAAACTTCAAACAATGCAGTGGCTTTAAGATTTTATCACTTTTGTCTTTTAAAAATATTTCAACTTTAGTAACATTTGATGACTAATTAACTAGTTCTCCAGTTCCAAATTTGTCTTTTTTTGGTATTGTTTAAGCTCAAACCTTTATTAGCAACAACAAACAAACTCCATATAAGAACGTATTTCCCTGTCTATTGAAATTTGTTGTTTTCTATGTGATTTTTATAGTGACAAAGATTAGAACATGTTATTTGTATTCTTAATTTTATGTTGTCCACTCAGGAAAAAAATCACATCCTCTTCTTCCCAGAGAGCAAACGTCTAACGGTCTAACAATAAGCGTCTCATTTCAGTAATTAAACCAAAATACAACAAATACTGCAACAACAGTTAAAAAGTTTCAACTTAGACTAAAATTCGATACTATCTCGTTGAAAATTCCTTACATTTCAAGCAATCGCCACGAATTAATGATAAAAAATATATAGGTTCCGGAGCTAAACCATAAAGTTGACTTTGGTTACAATCATATGACGCCTTATTCATGTCAATAAGCGAAGAGTGCTCACCGGGACTGAGCCGAGTAGGTGGCTGCTGGGAAGGTTGCTAAAAGAGTCGTCCATCGTGAAACATGCGGCGAAGATCTACAAAACAAATCAAGATGGCACCTTTTAGCTGGCTCAGATTATCACTCCGTTTCGTAGGATTGATTGCCAGTACAAGGAAGATATCGAATTGCTCGACAGAAGAGCCAAACTTTGAACGCTTGACGATGAAGCCAACGCTGACGATGGCAGAAGACGAAGTGCCAAGTACTTTTTTTATTTTTTATTTTCTCTCGGTATTTTTCTTTGGGAAACTTAAGAGCCGGTTTGGAGAACTCTGTTTTCGGCTTATCAAGCTTATCAGCCAGCTTTTTCATCAAACACGTAACTCTTACTTTCGCGCGCTGAATTGTGTAATAAGCCGAAAAAGTAAGGTTGGAGTTACTTTTCTGGTTGTATTGGCTGAAGTTACTGTAGATGACCATTTTAGCTATTTTTATATATAATTTTTTCTTTAATTTATTAATAAAATATATTTTTAAAATATTTTTTTCTTAAATCAGCAGAATCAGCCAAAACAGCCCCTCCAGCCAGAATATCATAAATTTCAACAGAATCAGCCAAAACAGCCACTCCAGCCAGAATATCATAAATTTCAACAGAATCAGCCAAAACAGCCGATTTTGGTGCTACCAAACGAGCTCTAAATCTATAGTTTTTCGATCTCTTTCAGGTTTCGAAATTCGTCTATCTTTCGGATCCTGAATTGATAAAATTATTTATTTCATTATATTTTTGTGTATTTCACTACTTCTTTATCGTTCTTTTTCGATAAAAGATGTTTTCACACTCTACTTCTGTTATATTTTCACTTTTCATCCTTTTTCTTAACTGTTAACTTTTTGTTTATTTCTTCTTGATATTTTAATTCACCATCACTATTTTGTTCTCCTTTATGCATGCATAATCATATTCTTCTAAGTCCATCTATGAATTTCATCAATGATGGGTAAAACTTTTTGTGATAAAAAATTAGAGAAATGAAACATAAGGAAAACTAAAACTATCGGGGTAAAGTAAAAAAATGACATATACTCTATACGCGAAGGGATAGATGAGAGAAAAATTAACTAACAATGGGGAAAATAAAAAGAAAGCTAAAACAACTAATCATAAATCACTAATATGTCAAAAACTAGCAAAAGGATGGGGTGAAAACCGAAAAGGGACAAAAACAATGAATTCTAAGATGGCGAAAAGGGGAAAAGGAAGAAAAATTGAATAAAATAAAATAAAATGAATAATGAGAAGGACACAATAGAGATCTTTAAAAAAGAATTAATGGAATAGTAATACATACATATATAAACAAGAAAATAGAGTAACAATGGGAAAGAAAGAATGAATGAATGAAAGATGCTGTGGAGAAATTTCTAAAAAGAAGATGAAAAGGGGGGGAAATGATGGGATGATAAAAGCAAAACGAGAAATTTCTAGTGAGAAATAGGAAAATGATATAAGGGACTATATTGAGAAGATTGGTGAAATGTGAGATTATTTACGTAAGTTTTAGAACAAAGAGCAAAAAAACCTGGTGTAACAGCCTCATCATCCGGTCACGGACCAACGAAAGAAGATTGTTTACAAAAATGAGATTATTCCGAGATTACATTAAAAGTGAGATTATTTAGATAAGATAAGTGAAAGGTCGTATTGTTATTGTCTATTTTTCCAATTTTTTTTATTAATTGCAAAGTGTTCTTTGTTAAAGTTATCATAATTTTCAAAAAAAAAGTTAATATCATAAAATATAAAACACTTACAACCGTCACAAAACTATATTAGTAGGTTTATAAAAATGTGACCATCATATTCACCAACTCACAAATACATACGGTAGTCATATTTTTTAGTTGGTGAATATGATGGTCACAAATTAGTAAACTCATTTGAATAGGTAGTCATATTTTCGTTATTAAGCTTTAGAATGGTAATATTTATGTAATTTTTTCATATTAGTATCAAATATACCACCAATAATCATGGATGTCAAATAGGAATGGAAGTTTAACTAGTACTTCCACCCATGCGTTGCACGGGATACAGTTGCGGTCAACTGTTTTTTTAGTGAAGAAGCAATAGAGTAAAAACGATAAATATTGGTACATTTATTATTAGGCCAAAATATTTAAAATACCCCAAACTTTCAAGGGGTGTGAGGTAAGGACCCAAACTTGCATATGTAATTTAAATACCCCAAACTTTGTATAGAAAGTTTTTTATCACCATGGTCATGTATTATTTTAAAATTTAAATAATGCAATTACCACCATAAATTTACATTTTTGAAATAAATAATACATAGCCATGGTGTTAAAATAACTTTTTAGAAAACTTTTGGGGTATTTAAATCACATTTGAAAGTTTGGGGTGTTTATCTCACACCCCTACAAAGTTTGGGGTATTTTAATTATTTTCCCCTTATTATTATTGTAATCATTATACCTATTTAGATTTTTTTCCAAAGCAGCCATCATCTTTATGCATTATATAAAATATTTCAACTTTATGACTATTTGTATAAAAACATCTAATGTCCTTTAAAAATTGTACTCCCTCCGTATTTTAATGTTCCTTACGTTTGTTTTGGGCACAAGATTTAAAGGAGAATAATAGGGATAATGAATAATATAGAAAAAGTAGGAAATAATGTGAAAAAGTAGGAAATAGAGGATAAAAAGTAGAAAAAGTAAGTGTAATTGAGTATTTTTAAAGGAAAACTTACCAAAAAGGGAAAATATATGGAACTTTTAAATACATCCCAAAATGGAAAGTGTGTGGAACTTTGAAATACGGCATGGTCCGGTATGGTCTGAACTTATTTGATAAATGTCTGATATTTGTATATTTTATAATTGTAGAAGTCAGATTAGGTCTATTAAGGTCAAGTTTGGTGAGGTCTGCGATTGAAAAAAGTTCAAGTAAAAACATCATAAATGACTCTCAAAGGCACATTGGCACATATACCCTTGATACAACACACGCACAAAAATATGACTCATAAACTCAAGGTATACCTCATTTGAATCATAATAAGAAATAGCACTCATAATTAATAGAAAAAACTATATGTATGCTACTAACATAGTTTTACCAGACAAAAATATGACTAATCATTGTGTACGAGTAAATAGACAACAATCACGAGAGTGTATTTAAGAGTAACATATCTTTATCTTTGTATAATACAAAGTAATAGAGCTGGGGCAACAATTGGAGGGAAAGATCCCGCCCAAAACAAGGGCAAAATAGAAAATTAATGAGAAAAGTAAATTTGGTAATTAATTGTATTCAATGAAAGATAGGAAAGAAATGTATTATGCATTGATCAAGCATTAATAATGACATCTACACAAATATTTACACGAACATTGTCATATATGCTCAGCTGGCTATAATTATGATGTCTGCCTAAATCCTAATAGCATATGATTGTTCCCATAAATCGATAAAAGTTCTTTTAAAAATTATTTCCTTACTTCTTCTATAAATAAATAATAAGTATGTCTACTTTAAATTGACTATATTACGTATAACATTTTTGAACAAAAAGTTAAAAGAATGGCAAGAATATTATCCGTGAGGTTTCAATAGATAAAAATATGACCATTTTACACCAAGACAAAAAAGTGACCATTTAATTTTAAAAAATAATTACATGCACACCAACTCCCTGCCATACCATCGAACTTTATCTCTGCGCTCCATCCAGATCCACACCCATCTTCTCCATCTTCTGTCTTCAAGCTCCGTCCAGATCCACCAGGCTAGCCGTCTCCATCTTCAAGCTCCTTTCTCCGCCTTCAAGCTCCGCCCAGATCCACCATCCAAGCCGCCTCCATCTTCAAGCTCCATCCTCCGCCTTCAAGCTCCGCCCAGATCCGCCAACCAAGCCACCTCTAATCGCTCCATCTTCAAGCCTCGTCCTCCGTTTTCAAGCTCCGCCCAGACAATGGCCGTCGCCACACCTTCATCTCTCACCGCCACAACAGGTTAATGCCTCGTCGCTCGCTGCCATTGCAAATCCGCCGCCCGCCGCCATGCAAGTCCTTTGCCAACCTTCTTATTCCTCTCCTTCTGTCTCGTGTCGGCGGTGGCGGTAGGTGGTAAGATTTAGTACCACCTAGCTAGGGTCTGAGGGAGGGCGGGGGTCATGGTTGCGGCAATGGTATTTAGCGGCTGACGGTCGAGGTGTGGTGGCCGGATTTGAAGACCGAGGTGTGGTGACGGGATCTGACAGCTATGATTCTACGGTTGGGCCATGAGGGCAGAATAACAAATTATTATGCAAGGGCTCAGCTTGGAAGGGGTGTTGGAACTTGAGGAAGGACATTACACAGGTGGTGGTGGCCGGAGTAACTTCCAACGGATGGTGTCACCAGAAAATTTAATGTCACCATAAAATTTTCCGACGGTCATAGTGACAGGGCGGTGACTGCAGACGGAGTAACTTTTGACGGGTGGCATCACTGAAAATCGGTGTCACTGGGCAGTGACGGTGTCCCTGTCGTGTCACTATGGTCGTTGTCACTATGGCCGGCAGCGGCGGTCACCAGTGGGAGGCGGTGGGAAGGGGTGGAGGATGTCACTGTGTCTCGTGTCACTGTAACGTGTCACTGTAGCAGTAGGTATACAAGTAAGCTTGTCACTTATGAGTCACATTTCTGGAATTTTAAAAAAAGATCACTTTTTTGTCAATTGCCCTTTTATGAGTAATATTCAAGGCAAATCCCCCAAAAAGTTCTAAGATTTATTAGAGTCCACTTTTTAATTATGATGCCATTTGTAATGATAATATATGTATATGATTAATTATTTCCTTACAAAGTTTTGCTTTAAAGTATTCCTGCCATATTATATAGGCTTAAATATGATTTTAATCCCTCCAAATATAACACACTTTGTTTTAAGTCATTGCATTTTTTTTTTTGTTTTTCATCCCTGTAATATGCCCTATTTTGTTTTTAGTCCTTCTCTAATTACAAACCACACTACTCAGAATTTTTTTTATTGTCAGTAACATAAATCTACTAGAAATATATAGAAAAAATTCATATGAATAATCCCAACTATTAACCATCTTCCCATATTAATCCAAGCATGCATAATTCTAGAATAATCTGAAATATACATGAGGTATTCTCACATTGATCCATGATTACTGGTAACCTACTACACCGGTTAAAAAAGGGAAAAGGGAACTAATGTGGCTTTCTCGTTAGGAGGGGTTGGCATCCCATCCCAATGTCTT